TGGAAAAAAGAAAAAAGCTATCAACAGCCTAGACAAGAAATGTTGATTCTCAAAGTTAATGTTGATTCTCAAAGTGGAAGAAAAAAAGTACACAGAGGTAGGCAGAAAGATGGAAGCAGCAGTAACACTGTGAGGTTCTCAATTACACACAGGGTTGTACAATATTACTGGAAGAGAATTTATGAGAAGCTAAAGATTTATTTTGAAAGCAGAATGATCATTTAATTTTTTAAAAGAAGTATATGAGGAAGCTACTAGTAGAAAGAGTAGATGAAATCCTAAAAACACTGAATCCCAAATAAAGGAAAAATAATAAAAGCTTTGCTATTTTGTTTCTGTTTTGAACAAAACAAGTAGTCAAGTAGAATCACAGGTGCAAATCCAGTCACATTGATGACATCATATGGATGCTTATGTTAAAGAGATTTCATACTGGTTACAAAGTAAGACTTTGGCAGGGTAGATGGCTCAGTTGGTCCAGTGCTTGCTGTTCAAGTGTAAAAAAATCTTAGTTTGGATTTCCAGAACCCAGGTTAGGCCAATATGGTTGTACTATTTACAGCCCCTGTGGGAGGGAATAGGAGACTTCCTGGGAGCTTCTGGGCCAGCCAGCTTGGCCTACTATAGTAGCCAACAAGACACTTGTCTCAAGGCCTGAATGACAGTGAGCAGAGGAAGTAGTTTCTGGAGAACAGCAACCACCATAGTCAGAGAGAAGTTCAACTCTATATGCTCATATGGGAAAAGAAGAAAGGCTTAAGATTAGCCACCCAAGATTCCACCTTAAGAAGACAGAAAAGGAGCGTGTCTGTCCCAAATGATAAATAAATGTTACCAGAGATTGAAAAAAAAACACAATGCTGCTGAAAAGTAGCAGCATCAAGTAAGGAGAGAACGGGTTCAGGAATGGCAGTGTACTACCAACTGCCGACCTCGACAAGAGCAGGATAGTCGAAAGCCGTGCAGAATGTACTTGGGAGTGAATGCATGTGTAGAGACTACAGCATATTTAAGATGTGTAGACATGAATAGCAGAGAAACAGATGGTGGGTGAGTAAACAAGACATGTGGTCAAGCCAGGCTTGCATTTTACGATGAGATTTCTTAGGACACTGAAGAAATGATCCACTATAGAAAAGATGAGCCGGAGCAGAAAAGCAATGGAGCAAAGCCCCTGAGAAGGCAAGTGGGTGAGAGAAGACTTTGTTAGAAACAGGACACAAGTAATTTAACTTAATACAAAAAGACTTGATTGAGCAGTGAAAATCGTTGTAAGAAGTTAGGTCACACTATTTTAGTTTAATGGATTACTTATAATTTTTACTTTAATGGTTCAGTTATGAAGTTTTGACTACCATTATCAATCTTACTGTTTACTACACTGGCCCAGTGACGGCTTTCCTGATCTCAGAATGGATGTGAAAACTTTTGTTCTAGTCTGAAACGGCCATGGATTGCTAGGTTTCTTCTGTTTTCCTTCTTGCCTCTTCTCTCACAGAAATCTACATGATACATGATATCTGCATTGTGGCTAAAATCTTCCAGAGTAAGCACATCAAATAGAAGTTTTTAAGCTCAATTAAAGTTTAAGAGGACACCAATATTCAAAAGCATCACACAATGTGAATATTAGCCTAGTAAATAGCAATAAATTCAAAAGCTCGGGCTAATGACAGCTACACAGATAGCACATGGGCTGCTGGCGAATGGTTCCGATTAAAGTGCTTGCCAAGCAAACATGAGGACTTGAGTTTGATTCCAGCACCCATGTAAAACGCTTACCATGTGATGTGTGCTTGTAATCCCAGTGCTGAGAGGCAGAGACAGGGATTCCTGGGCGTGGTGGTGAGCCAGCCTAGCCTAACTGGGAAGCTCCAGGCCAATGAGAGGCGCTATCTCAAAAACCAAAGTGCACAATGTCTAAGGAACAAAGCCTGAGTTTGACTACTGGTGCCTACAGACACACGTGCACAATAACACATAGAAAGAAAGTACATAAGTAATAATGATAGCGCTTATGTCTGATAATGCCTTTGGGTTTAATGCTGAAGACTATAAAACTGTTCTGGTAGTTTACATCTTCTAATGTCTGCTATTTAGAGTAAGCAACAGAATTTAACATTTCTAAGTTTAAGAGAAACATAATTAAATACTTTACCAGCTGTGAGTTCGAGACCAGCCTGGTCTACAGAGCTAGTTCCAGGACAGGCTCCAAAAGCCACAGAGAAACCCTGTCTCGAAAAACCAAAAAAAAAAAAAAAAGGACACTCAACTAGATTGAAAAACAAAATGATGTTATTTTGAAACACAGTTAAAGATTAAAGAATTCTGGCAATTTAATTAAATAGACAAAACAGTCAATTTCAGATATAAAAATATGAATTTAAGCAAACAATTTTTCGTTAAAGAGATACTTTTAAGTAAATTATAAGGTGCTTTTTAGCACATGGAGAAATGGATATACTTCATTCATTTTTGATGAATTTTAATAGCACAAAACCTATTCTGTGTGTGTGGATGTGTTCATTTGCATGTGCACGTGTGTGTAAACAGGAGGCCTACATTTCTCTCTACCTTATTTTTTGAGTCATGATCTCACCAAACATGGAGCTCACCAATTTGATTAGGTTGGCTCAACAGCAACGCCAGCGATCTTCCTGCACTACGATTTCAGCTGGGTATTGCCCTGCCCGGCTCTACGTGGGTGCTGGACATTCAAACTCAGGTGTTGAAGCTTACACTTTACTAACTGAGCAATTTCTCTAGCCACAAAACTATTTCTTAAATAGAAATAATTCAGCCATTATAAATTTTGGATTTTACTTGTAGAAATTTATTTTATGAAAATAATTATAGGATTAATAGAGACAGAGGTCCAATGACAGAAATGTACTGCTAAGAATGTGTTACAAGTAATCTAACAGAATTCCCAACACCAGGTCAGGATTCTCCAAGAGACTGACTACTAAAACATTTTAGCCCTTGACTGTCCTCCCAGTCCCAAGGTGGAGTATGCCTATTGCTAAAGCACGGCCCAGATGCCTCTCAGCTGGAACTGACATTATAGCCCTTGACTGTCCTCCCAGTCCCAAGGTGGAGTGTGCCTATTGCTAAAGCACGGCCCAGATGCCTCTCAGCTGGAACTGACATTATAGCCCTTGACTGTCCTCCCAGTCCCAAAGTGGAGTGTGCCTATTGCTAAAGCACGGCCCAGATGCCTCTCAGCTGGAACTGACATTATAGCCCTTGACCGTCCTCCCAGTCCCAAGGTGGAGTGTGCCTATTGCTAAAGCGCGGCCCAGATGCCTCTCAGCTGGAACTGACCTGAAGAACTGCTCTGATGACTAGCTTTCATAGAACCAGAACGTTTCATGCAAGCTTCCAAAAATAGGGGAAAACCCAACAGTTATACCCAGCTATGATGCCTATGAACCACAACAATGACCAGCACGGCACGGTAACTTTAAGGGTGCAGTAGTGGCACCACCTTGACGATAACCAGCAACTCGCAAATCAGACTTAAGACCCACTCAACAAGAGGAAAAATCACACCTGGCACTGGAAACCTAGCCAATTAACCATGGCTAGGGAAGTCATGGATCTTGGAGAAGAACCTACATCCTCCACTTTACTAAACCAGGATAATCCTTAAGTATATTCTAAATGTTTATCTTTATACTCTAAGAGTGTAAGTGCAGTCCTTACTTTTTACCAAGAAAGCTTCTCTTTGCAATAGAATGAGACCAACACAGAAAACAACAAGCAAAAGTGCAGAGTTATGGAGTCCTGCCCCAATGGATACACCTACCAAACAACCTTCAGCTAATGCTCAGAGAACATTGCAGAAGAAGGAGCAGGAAGGTGTACGAGCCAGAGGATCAGGGAGTTTGCTATAAGATAGCATCTCTTAGTAATAATGTCAGGAGCTACATCCATGTCTTAGCAGTAAGACTGCTAAAGCATGAGATGAATAAGAACAACAATAACAGAGATGCCAAAGCAGAAGGAAAGGCCTATTAGGCCTCAGTCTTACACAAAAAACTACAGGCAACTAAGGAATACTGAGAGTGAGACAAGCAGTCTTCACCAGGGAGCAGCACATCAACTGGTGATTCAATACCATGAGGTTAGCCCTGAAACATACATACAAGTAGCAGACAAGACTGGGCAGGCTATGTTAAGGTATATATATATATATATATATATATATATATATATATATATATATACATGCTAACAATTAATGGAAAAAGAGACTTTAAGTTATACTTATTTTTAATAATATCAAAACAATCAAAACAACATCTATAATATTGCAATATACACAATAAAAAGAGCTACACAAACAATATACATGACATATTTTGGTAGGTATACATATGTAAAATTACATATAAGTAAAGTAGGCAAATGAATTTACAAATCCAGAGGAGAGCTCTGCAGGGAAGCAGGCGGAGGACCTAAGAGAATCCAGATAGAAGCTGTATCCACTCTGCACCACACAGTCCTACTTGTAGAATGAAGCTGCCCATAAAAGAGTGAAAACCACAAGAGCCAGAATGGTGTGCAGGAGTCCAAGGAACTATCAGGAAAGGACTTACACCTCTCCTCTGGCCTGTCTCAACAGAATCACAGGAACATCAAGGTTGCTGAAACAGCCACATCCTTTAGCTGTAGGTATTGGCATTTGCTGTGGGACCTGATGTGTGGTAACATTGAATGGTAGCTGAGAAAACAATTCCTCAGACGAGCAACTCGGAGTGCCTGCTATAAACTCTGTCTTATTCCCCAAGTAGGATATTTATTGGGAGAGAACCAGAGCTCCAAAGCTATTTGTTAGTACCACTAAAAAGAGCCTTAGCCAATATCCAGTAAAGTCGGGACATTCTGTTGCATTTGTTTGTACTTGTTTGGGTTTTGAATCAATTAAAAGCCAGCACTGGCCATTAGGCAATGCTATCAGTGGAGAGACAGCATCATCCAAATGAGACCACACTTACCTTTGGGTTGTTTGCATCAAATAGACCAGTTGAAAGCCTGATCAGTAAGGAGTTCTTGGTTTTAGCTTTTGGTGGTGAATCAGAGCGAGATCGGAGTGAAACTGGTTCTGACTGAACTACGCTCAAGTGCTCAGACTGAGCCACTTTCTGGAAGAATGGTTCTGGCGGTACTGACTTCTCTACGTCACATCTGGACTGCTGAGAATCATCTACTGCAGGCTCTGTGGAATAAAAAGAGATTATATCATAAATTTATAGAATAGCACTTAAAATTCTAAAAATATCAGCAAGTATCATATAATATTTAACACGCATCCCATCCTAAGATCTGCAGAGATGGCTTGGTGCTAAAACACTTGCTGTTCTTGCAGGAGACCTGGGTGTGGCTCCTAGGACCCCCATAGCAGCTCGCAACCATCTTTAACTCCAGTTCCAGCGAATCTGACATGCTACACTCTTCTGGCTTCTGTGGGTACCATGACCAAATGTGGAACAAATACTACTTATATGCAGACAAAACACTCAGCCATATAAAATATTTTTAAATAAAAATGAATTAAAAAAACTCATACCAGGTAAACAAAATCAAAGTATACATATAAGTATATTGTATACTATCTTATAAATAACCATTAAGGAGATATAACATTTTAATTTCATATATATCTTTATTATATTGGAAGTTTTAAAATAAAGAAATCTAAAGAAATGTAAAAATACAGTTTAGAAAATCAATTTTTCTGTTCGTTTTCATAGAGGATAAAAATTGTTTATATTGTGTTATATTTTGACCAACAGTATTTTAAAAAGATACCAGTTTACTCAGTGTCTTTGGTATATTGCTTTGTTTTAGCAGCAAATTCTTTTCATTTTCAACAATACAACTTACCAAAAAGTTAACTGCTTATATTACCACAATCCCGGGCCAGCTAGTACAGGTTCCTAGTTTCTAGGCCTATTTTAAAATAGAATTATGACGACTTATAATGGTGCCCAAATGAGACAGGCTGGTATTAAGAAGCCGTCCAGAAAGAGTTAGACTCCAGCAGTGTCACTTACCTATATGATCCTCACGAGACTGCTCCACATTCCCTGGAATGCTGCCTTCACAAACCTCACTCTGCTGCTCAGCAACCTTATCTTCCAACCTGCCACAGACAGACAAACCAAACAAAATAAATACCACGCAGTTTTATTAGAAATAAAAGCCCTTTTATATAAAGAAAATGAAATCCACATCTACTAGCATCCTGAACTCCCTTGTCCAAATGATTTTCTAATCTTAATATAATACTTCCTCTTTAAGTACAGTGTTTTCTACTTTGAGCAAAGTGAAACTCTTACCAATCACTAATTATTAGTTAATATTCATTCATTCTGAAAGTTTACATTGGTCAAAACTCTAAAGAATGACTAAATTACAAATGCAATTCATCTAAATTCATCTCTGCTTCAAAAAAACCACCTGATTTTGCAAAAATATTTTATGTAAAACATTACTCATTGCAGCATCACAATACATAGCATGAATATTCATCAAGTAGTAGGTTATTGAGTTTTCTTATATCCATATAATAGAATATAAAATAGAGAACTTTCAATTAATGTGAGAAAATTTCCCAGACGACAAACTTTTTAAAAAAGTATTTGTTCTATATGTATGTGTATGTGTGTGTATATCACATGTGCACAGGAATCCTTGAAGGAGGGAAGAGGAATCAGATACCCTGAAACTAGAGTTACAGGGTCTATGAGTTGGCATGTATGTGCTGGGAGCCAATCCCAGGTCCGCAAGAGCAGTAAGCCCTTTTTAACTGCTGACTACCGACTTTATAAACAAAGTGAGCATGGAGTTTGCTCAGTGGTTAAGAGGGAGCACTGACTGTTCTTTCATAAGGACCAGCGTTTGGATCCCAGCACACACACGGATCAGCTCATAAATACTACAGGTCCAGCTCCAAGGGATTCAGTGTGGCTTCCTGCCTCCATATTTTATCTGTGCACACACATGTGAGCATACACTTTCAAAGACACACAAACACATTTTAAAAAGCTGAAAAGGTTTTAATAAGCATTGTATATATTAGCAACTGTATTTGAAAAGACTATGTATTTTGTTTATATATAATAAAAATTATCTGCAGAGAAAAATCAGAAATTGGTTGAATGGGAATAAAGGCTGGCAAGACATTTACTGCTTATCTTCATATAGTTTTTTATTTCTGTCCCATGCTAATATCTATTAAGAAATCAAATTACTTTATAGGGGGTACTACAATATGAAGTTATTAAACTACAACATTAGTTAATACAGCATTACTTATTAAAGAGCTTACCAAAGGAACCTGCCTTTGAAAAGTAAAGAAAAAGACAACATACTCTGTTTCCTTAGCTTCTTCTTCCTCACTAATCCACACATCATTAACAGCACGTGGCAAACTTCCATCTGTGTCTGTGCTACTTGGCTCTTGGAGAACTTCTGTCTCCAAATCATCAGGTTCTGCAGAGCAAGATCAGGAGATGTCAGAGTAAAGTTTGCTGAGAATGGGCTGACTAACTTTCTGTAAGTTATTATTTCACTTAGTTTAACTAAAGAAAATCAACTGTTTAAAGCTTTCTGGGCTAGTTCTGTAGCACAGTCATTCCTAAAATGAAAGACGAGGCCTTTCATTTTTTTGGTATAACAAAAATACTTGAGTACTGTGCACAATATTCATTATTATGTAAGGTATATGCCGGGCGGTGGTGGTGCACGCCTTTAATCCCAGCACTCGGGAGGCAGAGGCAGGCGGATCTCTATGAGTTCGAGGCCAGCCTGGTCTACAAGAGCTAGTTCCAGGACAGGCTCCAAAGCTACGGAGACACCCAGTCTCAAAAAAAAAAAAAAAGATATAAGCCTTATTAAAACTACAGCAATATGTAAATCAGCATAAAGGAATCAAAACTAAAGACTAAAGATACCTGTTGTTACAAGTATGAGAAAATAGACTGTATTATTAATATTTAGTAAAGAAACTTTAATCTTGGAAATCTTCCAACAAACACAAAAGAAAACCAATATGATTACCTGGACTTTTACAATGGCCTTGAGAAGTATGCTAAATCAATTTTCTTATACCCTCAAATAATTAATAGCTAGGAAACTATTTTTCTGGCCATCTTTAAAGAGAGTCTATTTGTCCATTTATATGTTTATGTATAAGTCTGCATGAATGTATGCACATATGCAAGGTATGTGTAAATATATGTTGAGGCTAGAAAAGAGCGAGATCCCTTCGAGCTGAAGTTATGAGTGCTTGCAGAATGGCAGACATGGGGTGCTGGGATTCACATTCCGCTCTGCATAACTGTGCAGCAAGTGCTTTGCTGCTGAGTCCTCTCTTCAGTCCCACTGAAACTTCTATTTTTCCTGTCTGAGATCATATACTTTCTTACTTAATTCAACACCATGCACATTTTTTCATGGACTTCAGATATGCTTTTCTTATCTATTTACAAATTTCTAATGTTTTGCCCTATTGTGAAAGACAAGAGACATGCAAATACTAATTTTGATCTGTTGCTCACATGAATGTTTGGGTCATCCATACAAGGTATGTACTAAGATAGAAGAACCTTTTTATTTTGTCTTTTAATGTGTAATTCTGTTCTTGTTAAATAGAGGGAGAAAAGGAGGTGGCAATGGGTTGGTTGTTTCTAGAAAGAAGCTGACACAAGTTTTCCTTTGGGAGAGTTTTATCGGCCTTAAGATAACAGAGACGCAGTCACTCTGAGGCAGGACAGCGCCCTCTAACAGACAATAGGAAGGAGAAGGCCTGATGGAGGAGAGCTTTCCCTTAGAACCCACAAAGGAGTTTTAGTAAGAGGCACAGATTAAAGAACCAGAGAGACAGCTGTCATGGACAGGATAATGGGAGGGGATCAACTTTAGAGAAATTCTACAAACACAGGAAAATATATGACCTTTATATCCTTCCAGGGGCTGGTAGGAAGCTCCATATCACATGATTTTGTTCAACACAGCCCACTGACAGGGAGCACAAAGGAGCCAGCTACAGTGTAGCACTATAAATCAGGGGCGGTAGACCCACAGCACAGATAGCTTCTTAACTCTATGTCCCAGAGAAAGAGCTGAGGGGAGCAAGGCCTGGTTTTTCCAGGCTGTGGGATGGACTTCTTAGAGAGATCAGCTTCTTAAAGGGGTAGGTTCACTATTTAACAATTCCCTAGTGATCTTCAGCTCTATCAAAACTAACATTCTATCCTCTAAAGTCAATTTGTGACCTGGTTTCCATAAAGCCTAAAATATTTACTCCACAACTCTGTAGGAAAAGTGAAGCTTGCCAACCTCAAAACTAGGCTATAAACTCTCTACTATATGCACACTCATCCTGCTGGTTAATTTTATCTTTTATCTCTCGAGAGGAGAGCACCCAACAGAAGTGAAGGAGGAAGACCTGGAGTTTACAAAGACCAGAACCAGTTCCTATCTCCACCAGCCTGTAGTTCACAAGCCATTAGGCAGATTGTTCAGAAAGGTTGTGGACTCAGTAAAAGGGGAAGATTAGCCATAAACTAAACACTGCTTGATTCCACTTCACAGAACTTAAGAAGAAGGCCTAAAAGGATCAAGATACTCATAACTAACCAAACTGTATCCCAGAACAAAGGTCAAGAGTAGTTATAGAAATATAAAAACTACATAAACTTCCACAAATTATAATTCAGTGTTTTGTCCCTAAGCAAAAATAATCAAGTAAAATCTGGTCTACCAACCAAAGGCAATGTCCAAATGACAGAGATGATGAGATTACTCACTGGGGAAGGACATTTGTAGTGATTATTATAGCTGGGCTCCCTTGGGTTCAACTAAAGAAGACTGACCATGGGAGGGACAAAATAAGGGAAGCTGGGCTGGTGTGCAGCTCAGTTGCAGAGTACTTGCCCAGCATGAAGAGACTCTGGACTAGAACCTCCTCTACCAAAAGGAGGAGGGGAAAAAAGATTGGTGCTGGACTTGTAGGAGAAAAGTCCAAAAGAATACAGGAAAAAATACTGGCAAAGAATTTTCCAATACAAGTGACAGTTATGACTCACAAGTCCAAGAACACTAGCAAAAGGATGTGAGAACAAGGAGTGTCACCACCAAGCTCACTGAAACCAGGGCTTTGAGAAAAAGCCAGAGCAGCAGCCAGAGGACAATGACATCCTGCATCCAGAGGAACCGCTGAGACTGACAGTCACAGACGACTTCCCGCTGCGAGCAGTGAAGAAATATTGTTAAAGTAGAATAGAAAGAAAAAAGTATCAGCTAATTCCATAGCTCTTAACAAATATTTGTGAAGGCAGGCACAGTAAACTTTTACAGACATATACAAGTTGAAGGAACCAATCATTAGTGATATTAAAGCATAGCAAGTCTTAAAGGGAAGCCAACACGCAGAGGAAACAGAGCCAGACGGTAGAGAGCACTAAAAATATAAACACAAAGCAGACACATAGGACCACTTCACTTACTGCTTACGTGTCCCTAAGAACTAATAAGTAGATTATGAATTTTATAGCAAAAATATAAGCAAAGCAATTACCTCACCCATCCCAATCCTAGCACAAAGGTAGGAAGGAAGAAAGTGCAAGACTGTTATAATGCTGCTTGCTATATATAGGTTAAGCACTGAAGACATTTGAAAATAGAGTTCATAAAAGTATATACTGTTGACTCTAAATCAAATAGTGAGTTATCAGAGTAATGAACTCTAAGAAAGCAAGAGGAAATAGAGAAAAAAATCACAGATAAAGCAAGGTGGTACAGTTAAATTTTGTAGAATGCAAATAGTATAAAAGTATTAGGTGTTAGGAGTGGACTGAAAAAGCAAACCCACACTAAATGTAAATGTATAAACAGTTTGAGTGCGGGAAAGGGATAGATATCTCAATCTAACATTGAGCAAAAGAATATAAAAATGACTATACCAATAAAACATTCTTTAAAAGAGTTGGTTGGCGCACACCTTTAATCCCAGCACTCAGTAGGCAGGCACAGGTGGATCTCTGTAAGTTCAAGGCCAGCCTAGTCTATAAGAGCTAGGTCCAGAACAAGCCCCAAAGCTACAGAGAAACCCTGACTCAAAAACCAAAAACCAAAACAAAATGAAAAAATCTTTAAAAGAAAAAATTAAAGCTCACAATACAGATGCCTCTCAAAAAGCATATGTCAAAGAAGCCAGAAACAAGAGAACACAAAACTCATATGGCTGGCTTCATGGCATTCTAGAAACAGAATAACTAATATAAGGTGAGGAAATTTCAGACAAAGAGTCTCTGGGAGACAAAAGTCAAAGTCTGATTGAGGAAGGGCTGTGACACTTCTTGGGGTGATGGTAATGCGCTATCTATTATTAGTAATTAATGTTAAATACGTCCACGCATTTGCTGGAACTCAGCAAATGTACAAATCATTATCCTTAAAATAACATAAAAGGAGAAAAACTAAATAAATACTGAATTCTGACGGTGACTCTATGCTGTGAAGCACAGGAAAGTATACCAATGTCTGCGGTTGACTCTGAGTTATGTCAGAAATAAGACTGATGAGTACAGGATAGATACAATGGACAGCACTAATGGTAGAAGGTAAATGGATGATTATAACACCTACTGCAAAATTATTAAATTCTTCTACATGTTTGAAATTTCTCATAATGAAATTCTAGGAATTTAGATATAACACAATGAGATATACAAACATAAAGAGAATTTTAATGTAGTAGTAGTAAAGGTCCATAAAATACACTTAAAAATAAAATCTAGAACAATGCAAATAAAACTGCATATAACCAATAAGGCAATATAAAGGGAGAATTATATATGAACACGCCCATTCACACATATATGGATATATGTGCATATATGTGTATATACATACATGTGTATACATTAAATAAATATATCTTTATTTAATCTATATATACACACAAACATGGATAAGCACATATATCTGAATGTACTCAGAAAGATAAACAAGCTAATGTCAGCAAGTACCTGGTAACAGGAAGGATTGCCCTTCATGTTTTAGGAAAGTACTGTTCTAGGCCTAAAGAAGAAGCAGAACTGATCACCCAGTTCTTGTGTTTTTGGTTTATTTGTGATCAGTCTTCCCAGTTTCTTAAGAAATAAGAGAAGCTGAGCATGGTGATATATACACCTGGAACCCTAGGACTTAGAAGTTCTGAAGCAGGAACTCAATGGGTTCCATGCCAGACAGGTCTATATAACCCTTTCCAGGAAGCTTATGTATTTCTCACCCTGGCCCGCTACTGACCTTACACAGTGGCAGTGGTCTATTATTAATCCAGAGCAGTGCTTCTCAACCTTCCTAATGCTGCGTGGAGCCTTTTCATACAGTACCTCATGGTGTGGTGACCCCAAATCATAAAATTATTTTTGTTGCTAATTCATAAATGTAATTTTGAATCATAATGTAAGTATCTGTGTTTTCTC